TCCCCCCACCCCTCCAAGAAATCTGTATAGTATAGGGTAAAGTACACAAAAGACCAGATTTCTCGGCTTGTGATGCTTTTTTCCTGGCCATGAATTTGGTATGACCCTAATGATGGAAAACAGACTTTTAGGATGTTTGTCATTCTTCTACTAAATCTAATACTAATTTCACCAGTTTTTAAACTATGAATCAGATTCTTCACTTCTTACTCAGGCAAAACTTACTCTAAAGTCAGTGAGAGTTTTGCATGAGTAAATATTGCAACATTAGGTCATTATACTGTTCAGCCTATTCTTCCAAATGTATGAGCAAATGTAACCTTTTGCAGATATTTTTATTAAGTTATGTTGGTGAGGGTTAGGAGGAAAGCTCTTATTTTGTTACAGGAAGATGCACTGTATAACAAAGATGTCCCAATCCAGAGCTCACTATAGCTAATACTTCGTAGCTTTATCACAGTATTTATTTTTATGCCAAGTAGTGATTAAAATGCACGAATATACCACTGCATAACTAGGACATTTATTCATAAATATGACATTTGATTCACTGACTGAAGGACAGGATTACAGATCCTGTTTAGAAGATTGGAATAAATATTTTGTGTGTTGTTGCTTTTAAATAGAAGAGTTCACCATGCCTTCTTGCTTAAAATATACAAAAATCTCCTTAGCATAAAAGTGCCTATTTATCAAACAAACAGTGATAGAGGAAGAAGTTGTTTATATTTTCAGCACAACCAGCATACATCATTTATGAAAAAAAAACCCAAAACAAGCACTCCATGAGAAATCTCAATCACTGTCAATCAGACATGCTAAATATACATAAACCAAAGCATGAAGTGTGAACTGTATTAAATTCAAACTGAACATAGAATTACTAATACAACAAACAAAACCACAAATAATTATAAGTGATTCATGACCTATTTGAACATCTCAGAAACCTGTTGAAAAGGTGGTAACCATAAAAGCCTGACAGCCTAAATTAAATATTTTAAAATGCTGGAGATGGTGTCCCTCCCTAATGACATTAATATTTTGCCAAAAGCCATAACTGTTACTTTTGTTTCCTAACTAATGCTCAAAGTGACTTTCCAACTCAATTACTAATAATTTGCCATTTAAATAAATAACTTCATTTTATTCAAGAAACAATTTAGTATCACTGTACTATAAAGTACATCAATATATTTTAGCCCAACAAATTAATATTTCTAAACTTCCTTCTTTAATGTTTGAAAGTGAATAATAAAATGATACAAAACAAATACTCTAATTTTAGTGCTTTATTACAAAAGATGTTTTGACATAGACTTTTTTAAGCTGCACTCACAAAAAAAGACTAAGCAAATTAACTGTTATAGCTGAAATGCTAATAGCCTTTTCAATTTATAGTTCTCGCTGACAATTACAATTTGCATGACTTAATATTTAATACTATGATTAGTACTAATGTCCCATATTTTACTTCATAATCTGAGCAAAATATTATTTTGTAGTTCACTGGTTCCTAGACTTAAGATGTAATGTTCAGTGTGTATTTCATTATGCAGATGAGCAATGCATGTTGTCTGACATGATTTAAATGGGTCAACAGTATTTTCCTATTCACATTAATCATTCAGACAGCTACTAGAAAAGTGCTTTGAAAACTAAACTAGAAAATCTGTTTTGCCACTGATACCTACCACTAGTTGATTTACCAATGATACAGATGTGTTGTGTGAGACCAAGGCTGCAGAACTCAGACTGAGGTCTGACACTGCTGTTCTTGCTCAAGAAAAACTGCCATTGAAGTTAATGGGACAAATTCGCTCTTGGCATAAGTGCATGCAACTCTGCGGAGTTCAAAGGAGTTGTGCCCATTTATGTCAGAAGTGAATTTGGCACAAAGGATGTTTTACGTGAATACAGATTGTAGAATAACTCCCATTGAAGTAAATGGAAGCAGGATCAGGCCATTTATTAGCAATTGTTCCCAGAGCACACAAAGACCACAGGCTCTACTCTCTACGTAACCATCATCTAAGGCCAATTTTGATATATGGCAAATTGCAAGGAAAATTGTAATTTATAAATAACGTAGTATTGCTGTGCAAAGGGAAGATTTTTTACTAAGTGCTAAGGGAAGTGCCTAAGTACAAAACAAGGTTGAAATTGATGGGGGAAAAGGATGAGGTACAAAACACTAGTTTCAGCTGTTCAGTGACTGAAGAATTTACAGCATTAAAAAAAAAAAAAAAAAAAAAAAGAGACAAGCCAGTTTCCCTGGCACAGTGTTACATGAAGTGCACACAGAGCCAGAGACAATGTATTTAGTCTCATCTCTGTGTAAAAACATTTTCACAAGGTTGAAATTGATGGGGGAAAAGGATGAGGTACAAAACACTAGTTTCAGCTGTTCAGTGACTGAAGAATTTACAGCATTAAAAAAAAAAAAAAAAAAAAAAAGAGACAAGCCAGTTTCCCTGGCACAGTGTTACATGAAGTGCACACAGAGCCAGAGACAATGTATTTAGTCTCATCTCTGTGTAAAAACATTTTCTGAGATTGGCAATGATATTGCTGTTGTAAAATGGGTTTCACTGACACTTTGTTGTAGTTGGCTCTTTATTCCACCTGAATAATATTATAAAGGAAAGGCTAAACCAAGATCTAGTGTGTGGGCTGAGCAGGCCTTGTTGTGGAATCCTAGAAGCAACCACACACATAGGAGGCTTAGGCTGAGTTATATTTTTTTCAAATTCCTTTGGTGAATAAAGGCAAACCCTAGGATGAAGATAGATTCTGAATTATTGTAACTTTGTAGGGAGTGTGTTTTGAGCAGCCTGGGGGAAACCACCTATTCACATGATGGTTATAATTTATGCAAGAGTTCATCTGGTTTTACACATTTTCATCAATATTACACACAAGGAAGTTTTATTCTTGGGGGTTTTAGGGTGAGACTTACGATGGTTTTCGTTTTCTAGTCAGTGTTTTTAGTGCATATTTTACAGCTATCAATCTAATGCTGCATGAGTCTAACTAGTGGATCACTTCTTTCTAAAGGCAATCAAAGCACAGGTGCCCAGGCTGATTTTTTTGGCTCTATTAGCAATCTTTGGTGTTGAGTCTTCTGCGGACACCAGCTGAGATACATCAAAGTGTTTTGGTTCTGTTCATCTGCTCAAAGGACTCTCTCCTGTAGAGGTCTGTGTTGTGACCTTATACAGTTCACGCATATATAAGGCAACTGGAGGAGCCTGTTAAAGCTGATGATGCAAATCCATCAACATGCAGGTCAGATAAAGATTTACCGTTTTTCCCCAGAAAATGGGGGAGGAGGGATACAATTTCTTAGCTTTTCCCAGTGCCTAATACAGCGGGGCTTGAATGAGGGAAGGTCAGTGCTCATTTACACTACAAACTTAAGTGGACTTTGGTTAAATAGACATTCAGCCACTGCAGTAATTCATTTAATTGCATTTGTTCACACCACACTTCTTGTGTCGGTTGAATGCATCCTCATTAGCAGCGGTTACATTGATGCAGAAAGCCAGCGTTTAATTTTTGCCTGGGCTTGCAGCCTGAGCCCAGGCACCTGTGGGCTTGCTGCATCAGTTATGAGTGTAAAAATATTGCTTGAGCCCCAGCAATTACAAATTAACTTTTTTATTACAAATTAAGCACTGCAGAGAACAATGCACTGTGGGATAGCTACTCATCACTAGAGTGGAAAGGGCCTATAATGCCTCATGAGACCAAAACATTCTTACAGGGGGAACTGGGAACATGGCTTCAATATCACATGATGCAATTTTCTCCCAAACAGCCCTGATCTCAACTAGGGATATAATACTGCAGTCTGGCTTGCGATGGGTCCAGGACCTATATTAGGAGTCGGGCAGGCAGACAGCCTGGCTCAGTCCTGACTCACTCCCAGTCCGGGAGCTCAGACTTCCCCTGGATAGGGGCTGCTGCCACCCTGGTTTTTAAACTGGCTCCCTTTGTGGACCAGCTCCTGCCTGGCACACCACACTGCTGCCTCTGATACAGGCAGTAGCACAGAGTGGCACGGAGCTTCTCGGGAGTGGGGCCGGAGTACACTGACTGCTTGTCCCACCCTTGAGGACTATAGAGTAGTCGAGTAACCAATAGAATTCATGAGGTTAATCGACTATTCAATTAATTTATATTTAACATCCTTAATCTCAACTGTAACCTATAATATTTTGCTTTTTTTCCTAAATGATGGCATAGCCACACACACTATCTCCTGAGAAGCATGGACCCCACTCAGCTGTGGATTATTGTTATGAACATTACAACCTCCATATGCATTATCCTGAATTATTTCCAGAGCTGGGAGAGAACAATGCAATGTCCTTCAAGCAGCCCTTCTGGAAGCCCTACTTCCCTTTCTGGAATATAAAATAACCACTGATGATGTTGAAATGTCAAAAGTGATTCTGAAAGACCCAGTCTACGCTTGCTCTCATGACTCATGAAGCCAGGCACCTGAACAACAGCAAGGAACAGTTCAACAACAGGCTGAGCAAATGCAGAGTGGTAGTTGAACACACCTTTGGCCATGTAAAGTCACTAGTGCAGTTTGCTTATTAGGTTAGACGTCAGGGAAAGCAATATCCCCATGGTTATAGCTGCTTGCTGTGTGCTCCATAGTATCTGTGAGGCAATGGGTGAGAAGTTTCCTCAGTGATTCAGCATGAAGGTGGACAGACTGTGTACTAATTTTGAGAAGCCAGATATAAGGACTATAAGAAAAGCTTAGCATGGAGCACTCTCAGGGAGGCTTTAAAAAGCCAATTTAGTAATGACTACAGTACTGTATGCTGCTTCTTGAGTTTTGTTATCCCATACAATTAACCTTGTGGTGCCCGTCTACTGTCTCCGTTTCCCTTTACCTTCTGGTGTCTCCTTGTGGAAAGTAATAAAGATTATTTCATTCTCAGGACAAGGATTTTTTTTGGATAAACTGAAAGACAGAAGAGTCACGGGATCAGAAAGAATAATTTAATCTTGTACAGAGTTGAATAAAATTGTAAAGGGAAAAATTCATTAATGTTGTCTTTAAAGGAACCATGGCTGCGCCTGTCAAACATCATCATACACGGTGCAGCTTTTACTCTTAAGACCCTCCCCCCATGTTGAGAGGAAAGGATATAGTCTTTTCCATCCTTGCCTCCTGGAACATTTGAGAGAGGGGAGGGGACCCACGATGCTGGAATTAGGTTCTGCAGAGAGAGTTTAGCTTCAAGGTATTTTTTCTGTCAACCAGGAGCTTCAACATGTCTGTTTCTTCAGCATCTCCTGCTAAAAAAGTATGAAAAGTATGCCAAACCCATACTTTTGGGCTGGTCTCCTGCTTGTCATATCCCATTTTTCAGAGACAGAAATCTTCCACGCTCTCTGCTCTATGTCTGCTGTCCCAAAAGCATTCATAATCTTATTAAACATGTCATCACACATTCTCTTTCATCTTCTTCTAATCTGGGACAACTTCTCTGCCAATGTGGAGGCCACATCTTCAGCTGTAAGACATGGAAAGCACAATGCATTCATTGTCAGTGCAGACCAGGTTCTAGTGCAGAGCTGACATATATCAAAGTCACATTTTCAATTACACAAGATATTCACTGAACCAGCTTGTCATACCAGTCATGGTGCGTCTAGCCCATGGACATGAGACCTCCTGCAGCACTGGGTAGACAACCCATGGCAGGGGCTAATGCCACCTATCCTTTGTAACATGGATATTGTGTGGTGATCGGAGACCATTGCTGACCCTCCCAAACTGCAAGCCTTAGCAGAGGTGGCACCAGGATGGGCTTGCCTGGCAAGAGTGCACATGAAAATTTCCATTTCTTTTAAATCCCCAGCGCCATGGCTGCTAGCCAGGGCCTGAGGCTTGCAGCTCTACACTTGACACTAACCCCTGCCACCCAAACCATCAGCATGTCTGGGAAACCATGAAGGAGTGGAAAAGCACCATGAGGGTGGGATCACATGCACTGTGGTTTAGTCTGAGCAATTGAAATGGAAACTGCCACCATCTCCTTCAGAGTGTATCTGATAACACTCTCCTGATGGTAACAGAGGTGGCAAGGGAACAGACACTGCAAACGTCCATGTACAGACCAGATCTTTATACTGCTATGCTGTGTACTGCAATGACACCAGTAGAATTAATACTGGAGTGCTATGGGAAAGTGTCCTACTATGGCAGAAGAAATAAGAACCCTTCTGCAATGGAATGCAGAGTACTGCTGGAAAACTTTCCTGGAGATTTCTGTGGAGGATTCCCAGGCTATCCCTCTGCACATAAACAATCCTTCCCATGGGTTATCCTCTGCCTGCCTGGTCTGGCGACTGGGAAGCAGACAGTCTACCTTACGCCTCCTTTTTTTTCCTCCACAAAAAATAAATAAAATAAAAATAAACACAGAATATATGAACATGTGACCCCAAATATGAACTGGAATTGCACACTCACCAAAGGTCCCTTTCCTAGCCTCATGCTCAGCCATGATACTGTTCTGCGAGTAGCTGGACTGCTCCTAAGTTTCAAACAGCTCCTGACTGCCTGCTTGCCTGTTTCACATTCTTCTCTTCTTCACCCCTCATCTCAGACCTCCTCCTCAGTGTTACCCGCAAAGGACCAAGCCCCTGTCACAGAGGTAACCATGCTGCTTTTGGGGATCAAGTCAGGGTCACCACTGAGAATCACATGTAGCTTATTGTAGAAGTGGCATATCTGCAGTGCAGAACAAGAATGATTGTTTGCCTCTCTTGTCTTGTGGTATACCTGCCAGAGGGCTTTGATTTTCACATGGCATTGCTACATATTCCTAGGGTAGCCCTTGTCCTGCATAATCTTTCTGTAGATTTCTGTAGCTGGACTGGACCTGTACACGCATTGACTCTTCTCCTCACAGACCACTAAGATCCACCACCTCCTGGGTGCTCCAGGCTTGTGTGCATTTGGAACTTAGAATCACCATGATCAGCTGGGCTGGTGACTCTCTACATTGATCAAACAGGAAATGGGAATTCAAAAGTTCCCAGAGCTTTAACAGAGGAGGGACTGTTTCCTGCATACCTGGCTGCTGTGCACTAGAGTTGAAATCATTCACCAGAGTGGTCACAACAGGGCATTGTGGGACACCTCCTGGAGACCAGTAACTGATGTAAGCAACACATCATCTATGCTGCATCCTCACTGACCTAGCAGCACTGATTTAATCAATACACTTCTTGCGGAGGTGATGTAATTAAGCCAACATGGCAGGCAAATTACATCAGCAGAATGGATCGTGAAGGCTCTGATTATTGCTAAGTGTGGCTCAGGTTGCTGAATGCTGCTTATGTTAAGAACGAAACATCTCTTCCTCAGAAGCTTCACTGATGTTCTATTCACATCTTATAATACAAGGTTCTTGGCTTGTATGGTTTCGACCATGGCTACTGGTTAACTACTGTAGCAGTACTTTCATTAATTATCTTTAGTTTTCTAGTGTATTGAACTGCATGTGGTGGTTTATTACCTATCTTCTCCTCAGATTGTACCACCCTAACGATGCCAAACATTATTCTACATCAGCTATAGTTAGTTCTCTAGTAACTTTCGCTTCAAAGCAGCATTGTGGACCCAGCAATGTTCCCTCTAATCTTTTCCATTCATGTGTAGATTTTTTCCATCCATGTGTGGAACACATTTTCACATTGACCCAGGCATGTGTGAATGTGCACCACCAATAGAAACACAAAACCTAGCATGTGTGCTCCGCTCATCAGCTGGGCAGCCTTTCAGTTTCTCCTGAGCAGCCTCATAGGCTCACAGCTTAGAGAGAACACTGAACCACAGTGCAGGTATCTTGCCCTTGCCTGCCCACAATCCCCAAAAGTGTACCATAAGCAGCATTCTCTGGAAGCCAAGCACTTGGGCTACCACCCAGGAGACATTCAAATGCCACCTGCTGTTAGCAGAGCGCCCACAACATCCACAGCCAACATGATGTGTTTCTGTTGGTGGTGCTTATCTGCACATAAAAAATTATTTCACAAATAGATGGAAAAAATTTACCATAAGTATTCCATTTTACTATGATAAACAATTCAAATGGGTGGAACTTGGTAAGTATGGAATATATTCCTGCTCAAATTAATGAAGCATTACTACAGGTTGCACCCCCCTAAACCAAGACTCTCTGGTCTGGCAACATCTGTGGTCCAGTAAGACCACAGATGTTCCTGGGCCAGAGAGCTCCAGTGGCTGGGAGCTGTGCAGCAGGAGGGCAGCAGCTGGGAGCCCTGAGAGCCCAGTGGAGCTGGCAGCAGCCTGGCAAGGGAGTGGGGGGCCATGGCAGCCCAACAGAGGAGCCACGGCCAGGGCAGCAGCAGCTTGGCTGAGGAGACAGGACACGGCAATGTGACAGCTCAGCAGTCCAGTAAGAGAGTTGGGGCCACAGCATTACAGCAGCCCAGCAGTGGGGCTAGGAACATGTCAAGGGAGATAGGGCAGTGGCATCCTGGCTAGGGTCATGGCAGCCTGGAGCCAGCACAGCCCAGCAACTAGCTAAGTCTGGGCCAGCAACAAGCAACCTGTCTGGGGCCAGCAGCAGGGGTGACCGGCCGGGGCCAGAAGCTGAGCCAGCAGCAGGCTTGTGGCAGCGGATCTCCCCACGTCTAGCAAATTCCCTTGTATGCCAGACTAGGGAGGTCCAATCTGTACAATGAAGAAAAACCAGGTTCCAAAAAGATACACAAGTACAGCATAAAGCCTCCATAAGAACATAAGTATGGCCATACTGGGTCAGACCAAAGGTCCATCTAGCCCAGTAGCCTGTCTGCCGACAGTGGCCAGCACCAGGTGCCCCAGAGGGGGAGGACCGAAGACAATGATCAAGCAATTTGTCTCCTGCCATCCTTCTCTAGCCTCTGACAAACAGAGGCCAGGGGCACCATTCTATCCCCTGGCTAATAGTACTGATCTGATGGTTTATTTCAAAGGTAAATAATATGCCAGAACATTAGCCATCCAAATAGTGGACTTGAGTTTAGTCATGAGTGGCAAAACTTTTGGTGTTCTATCCAGTGTCCAAGCCAACAAACAAACAAAAAGAAGTGCACGTGACCAACTACTGCTCCAGCAGTTAACCTGGCAGGAAGTCCAATCAAAGCTAGTGTCTCTAATATAAACATAAAAATTATAGCTGATGCATAATATTAATTAATTTGCTATGTGTTCTCCCTGGACTTAATAGCAGCAATGCTGGTACTTTTCAGGTGAACAAGATTCAAGCTTTGATGCCATGAGTCAGAGGGCCCTCTATGGTACCACTGCTCATCTGCGTCTATGGAGAGTGAAAGACATCTGACTAATCAAAAATCATCTTCTTCTAGAAACCAAAGTCACTGTGTGAGACTCAAATTTTTGTATTGTTGAAACCAAGTTATAAACTGCCTATCATTCTCTCTTAAATGAGGCAAGATAAAATAATCCTTCTCTTTGAGATTAATCCTGACCTGAAAATTGTCAACAATGCTGCGGGAAGCATGTGGTAAGAATTTGACTTGAACCAAGCCTGCTGTTTTAGTACTAAGTAGCATTTTATCTTTATTTTTCCATTTCTGACTTTAATGCATTAATACTTGTAATCACTTGAAATCGCTCTTTGTAGTTAAATTTTTGTTGTTTAAATCACCATTAATTCAGTGTTTTGAACTTTGTGGATAACTCCATGTAAGATGGCAAGATATATTTTGTTCCGTGAAAAAGACTTTTGTTATCTGAACAGTTTAGGAGCGGGCTGGACAGTATACACATTTTTGGGAGGAAATCTGTGACTGGGGATAAATTGGGGTGTTGGGGGGCTGCCCCCCCCTTGGGGGTTGCCACCCCAGTCCGGGGTATAGTTTAGACCACTCGGGCCTAGTCCCAAAGTACGCCGCCCCGGTATTATGGGAAATACGGCCTTCCGGCCTAGTCCTTTGTAGGCAGTCTCTGAGGCCTAGTCCTTCAGCCAAGCCCCCACTCGCCGGGGGTCGGGGCAGGAAGGGTAGGGAGGCCCAGGCCCTCCCTCTCCACCGGGCCCCGACCCAGGGCCCTATCAGTGGCGGGCGGCTCCCACCACTGGCTCGGCGGGGGTTCCTCCCCGCAATGCACCGATCCCGCAGGGGCTATTCCAGCTCCCTGCCCTGGGTTGCTTCCTACCCCCTTCCCTCCGGCCCATAGTGGTCCCACCTGTTGGCGCGAGGTGGGTGGTTGTAGCGGCAGGTCCGGCGTCTGGGTCACGGGGGGTCGGCTGACGGCTCCGTCGTTGGGATCGAGCCCGGCTTGGGCCTGGCAGCGGCGGGTCCAGCGGGCCTGGCGACTCCCTCTCTGGCAGTCGGGTCTGCAACTCTGGAGGTTGGGCGCTGGCTCCAGCTCTGACGGTGGTCTGTCCCTTCTGAGCAGGCCTGCAGCCCTTTATACCTTGGCTCCCCTGGGAGCACGCCCAGTAAGGCGGCATGGATGGGGCCCTCTCTGCCCGGTGATTTCCCTGGGCTTGAGTGTGGGACGGGGCCACCCCATCACATGGGGTCACTGTGCATATGGTAACTGTGGAAGTCAGAGTATGGCTGGTGTTTGCTGATGGGAATGCTGGAGTCAAAACTGCAAAATCAGGACTATGGCTATACACAGACACTCCAGGGGTACATCTAGACTACAAACCTCTTTCAAAAGAGATCGTCTAGACATCCACAAAACTTTCTGAAAACACCCAGGCAGTCTGGGCACTCTTTCGAAAAAGCCCTGTTTGCATTCAAGAACACCGTTTTTCAAAAGAGCTTTTTTGAAAAAAGGTGTTCTTTCTCATAAAATGAGGTTTACTGTTGTCGAAAAAAACGCTGCGTTCTTTCAATTTAATTTTGAAAGAATGTGATGGCAGTCTAGATGCAGGTGAAGTTTTTTAAAAAAAAGGCCACTTTTTTTGAAAAATCCCTGTAGTCTAGACATAACCCAGGGGTGACCTGGTTGCTGTTTGTGGGGTGCTCAGGTTGGAAGCCAGAAGAGCAAAACATTGTAAGGCAGTGGTCCCCAATGTGGTGCCCGCGGGCGCCACGGCGCCCGCAGAATCATCTGAGCCGGCCCTGCCCCCGCCCCTAGCACGCGGTACATGTGCGGTGCCGGCCCTGAGCACGTGGGCGACCCCTGCCCCAGGCACGTGGCACATGTGTGGTGCCAGCCCCGGGCGCAGGGGCAGCCCCGCCCCGGATGTGCGGCCCATGAACGGCCCTGCCCCCGGATGCCCGGCGCATGAGCAGCCCCACCCCCGGGCGCCCGGCAGCCCCAAAAGGTTGGGCACCACTGTTGTAAGGCATCCAAGGCTCCAGGATAGGACTGCCACAGCCCCTCACTTATCTGGATTGCACCCTGGGATTTCAGAGCCTCCCACATCATTAAGATGAATCCAATATATAAAATACTACACACACTTGTGTTTCAGGAGGGAGGGTTGTATTAAACATTACTAGATGATCTATAGTTGGGCAGATCTTTAGAGAATGGGCTGCATTTATAAGCCACTGGGAATGATAACTTTTGTGGTTGAAGAAAAGTTTTTGATTACCCACCAAGAACTGGTGAGTATCATAGCTATGTTTTCCTGACAGTCTGGAAGAAGCTGGGTTTTCCAAAGGTGGATGGGGTCTGGTTTGTTTTGGTTTAGAATGGGAAACAATGTGATACATACAGAGGTGGGAAATCAAGCAAGGAAATAGGCATATGTACATTTGTCCTGTCAGAAAAACAATGCACCTGGAGGAAGGCTTAACACTAAGGCTCTAGCAGAGGACCATAACTCATGCTACTTGAGTTAGTAGTTTACTTTGTCATGGTTTTAACTGTGACAGAAAGACCAAAAAGTGTTTGGGGAACTTTCTTTGAGTTTTATTAAAAGTGTCCTTTTGTATAGGCTTTAATAAAGTTATGCCTCCAGACTCTGAAACCCAAATATGTCCGTTTTTAATGGTGATATTAGGTGCAATAGCAATGTTACTGAAATAATTTATTTAAATTGAAAAAGTTAGTTTAATAAAGTAATACATTAAATACCAATGCAATTACCTGAATTGAATTCATCATGGTTTTTTTGCACTTCAAGAGTATAAAACAAAATTGAATGGAGAGTTAAAGCATAGCCTGAAGTGTGCTAGTATTCTTGATCTGTCAACTCACCACAAATGATAGAAAACCAAACAAAATATTTATAATATTTATACCCCACAGATTTCGTGAACTGGACATCTGCAATCTAGAAGTCATTTCTAGAAAGACTTTTCCCCAAGAGCTTCAGATAAACTGTCTTTGTAAGGAGTTTGACAAGAGGGATGTAAAATCCCATTTAATTAGTTAACAGGTTACTCATTATGTTTAAATTCTTTGCAATAACCACGCAGCACACCTCCATCATACCCACACAGAAACCCACCCCAGCAATCAACTCTGGTGCCAACTCAGTCCACACATCTATATAAGTGACATCATCAGGGGATTTAACCACATCACATCAGAGGCTCATATAACTGCACATTCACCAATGTAATCTATGCCATCAACTGTCTACAATGCCCCTCTGCCATGTATATTGACGAAGCTGGACAGTCTCTATGAGAAAGGATCAATGGATACAAATCAGATATTCGAAAAGAACAC